GTAAACAGTTTGTCCTTATTGAGTCCCTTGTAATTAGTTTTTGATACATACCTTATATTTCTCTTGGATCTTATATGTCAAGTCCTCTATTAAGATGAAGTTTTTTTTAAAGAAAAAAAACCAAAATACTAAAAGTCTGACAATTCATTAAATATCCATTTACTTTCATTCAGGATTATGCTTAACTTTGCTGGGTATGAAATATTATTTCTTGCAATAAACATGTCCTAAACTGTAATGTGAGCATGTTTTCCATTTGTCACGTTGTGAAATTGGGAGGAAAGAAAGAAACTTAATAGGAAATGAGGCACAAATCATATTTGGAGATTTTCCTTGAGTTCAGGGTGAAAGACCAAAATACAGGCCAATTTGTGAAAGAATTATCAAATATTTTGAACAACTTGTTGTTGTTGTCTTTTGTTCTTTGTTCTCAAAGAGGACCAATGACATCATGAGAATGATGTTTTGACTTGCACATGAATTGGATATAAGTGGGGCAGAGCTGTGCAAAGTTGTCAGCCTCACTCTCTCCTCCTGGGTCATCAAAGTCCAATGGCAAGACAAAGGGCAAGATGACTGGTGATGGCCCAGGATGCAGTGAGTAACCTTGGCCTTTCTAAATTTTATGTATATATAATATATATGTGTGTGTGTATGTGTGTACATATACACATATATACATATACACACATATATACATATACACACATATATACTATATATTCTATTCTATTCTATATAATTTTATATTTTAAACCCTAGAATGAACTAAGAGGAACCTTGGCCAAGGTGGTGGTGGTGGAAGGGTGCTTCTGAATATGGGACAACATCCTGATCTATAGCATATATAGCTACAGCATCAACCCCTTAAAGAGGTAGAGTATATAATCATTTAGTAAAGAGGAGCCTCTTGGATTGCCTACATAGCCAGATGGGGCACTATCTGACAATAACCTGTCCCTTCTCTCAGTTTGACTTCCTCCTGCCCAGCAGTCTTCCAAGGAGAGAATAGTGAAAAGAAATGAGTGTAAGAGTAGAAACTTCAAGCTCTTCCTAAATAAGACCAGCATATGACCCATGAGTACGAGTCTCACTTCATTACCTTACCATTTATTCTTCATTGTGGTTGTAAGAGATCAGTGATGGAGGTCTAAAAGTAGAGCCCAAGCCTAATTTTGTAGCCAGTCCAGCATCAATGTTCTAAGTAGTGAGAAGGAGACTTTGGAACCCAGCACCTGTTCACAGTGCAATATCATCCTCAACTCCTAAGTCTCTCTCAAATCACATAGCCTATGTATTGGTGGCTGGTGATTATCACATTTGTAGATTTTAGCAAGAACTTGCAGGGAGCCAGGTGATTAGTGATTGGTGATTGTAACATCTCTAGATTCTCGCTAGAACTTGATAGGAGTCAGGGAAAGCTAAGGTGAGGAGAGAGAGAATACCAGGCATGGAGGATAGTCAGTGGACATGACCAGTGTCAGGAAATAAAGTGAAGAGTACAAGGAACAGCCAGTACACTGGTATCACAGGACTGCAGAGGACATGGAGGGAAGTAAGAGAAAAGAGGGTATATTAAGCAAAAGAAAGTGGCAGCTAGGTCCTGCAGTGGATAGAACACTGGACTTGGAATCAGGAGGACTCATCTTCATGAGTTCAAATCAGGCCTCAGATATTCACTAGCTGTGTGACCCTAGGCAACTCACTTAACTCTGCCTCAGGTTCCTCATCTGTGAAAAGAGCTGGAGATGGAAATGGCAAACCATTCTAGCATCTTTCCCAAGAAAATTCCAAAATGGGGATCACAAAGAGTTGGGAACAACTGACCAACAACAACAGGAAAAATAAAAGGACTCAACAGTATCAAAGGCTGCAGAGAGAGATCAAGAAATATGAAGTCTGATAAAAAGCCATGAGCTTTGACAATTAGAAGATTGCTAGTAATTTTGAAGAGAGGAGTTTCATTTGAATAAAGAAGTGAGAAGCCAGACTGTACAAAGTTAGGAAGAGTGAGAGGAAAGGAAATAGGCATCTATTGTAGCTGCCTTCTTAAGGAGTTTAGCCACAAAAAGGAGGGGATATATGACACTAGCAGAGATGAATGGATCAATTTTTTTTTGAGAATGGAGGAAATACGTTTATGTTCATAGGCAAAAAGAATCAGCAAGCAGATATGGAGAGACTGAAGATAGGTGAGAGAGTAGGGGTGTTAAAGGGGGAAATCTGGAAGAGGAGACAGAATGGAATGAGACCACTTGTACATGTATAGATGTTTGCCTTGGCAAGAAGAGCCTCTTCTTTATGTGAGACAGGGGTTAAGGAGGATATAGTGGCAGGACACATCTGAGTGATATAAGATGAAGAAAAAGGGAGAAGAGAGATCTCTTAGCAATTCTGTAGAAGGAGATACCTCTCAAATATTTAGTTAAATGTGAGACTAGATTTTCAGCTGACAGGGTGGAGGTAGAATTAGCCATGGGAGGCCTGTGGAGGGATGAAAAGGTTTTGGAAGAGCCACTGCGGTGAATGGAATAGTAAAATATTTGGGGAAGTTTAAAAGGATTGCCTTGCAGCAGTGAGAGTCCAAACTGAAACAATGTAACACAAATTTATAGTGGACCCAATCAGCATGGATTTGTGATTTTCTCCAGCTTCTGTCAGCTGCAGTTGTATAGGAATAAAGGCACAAGATGGTGGGAGTGATCCAAAACTGAGGCTTTGCAAGGCATGTTAGGCAGTAAGGTAAGGGGGCAAGGGACTCAAGAGAAGAGGAAAGTGAAGAGCTGAACTGGTTTTCCAATGGGTCATAGTAGTGAAGGAAAGAATGTAGCTAGGGTAGGAGTGATGGCCTGGGCAAGAACTGAAGGGCTGTTGGTTGGAGGTGATGGTGAGTATGAAGGACAACATTTCAGGTTGCAAGGAAGAAGATCTAATATAAAATCCTCTATTTGGCATTCAAAGCCCTTTATAAACTGCCACTCCCTTTCCAGTCTTCTTATAACTTATGCCCTCGATCACATGTCCTCTGTGATCCATTAATACTGACCTTACTGTTCCTTGAACAAGACACTCCATTTCCTGATTTTCACTGACTGTCCTTCACATCTGGAATGGTCTCTCTTCTCATCTTAGCTACCCAACTTTCCTGGCTTCCTTCAAGTGCCAGATAAAATCACACCTGCTATGAAAACCCATTCCTCTTTCCCCTTAATTCCAGTGACTTTTCAGTGATGATTACCTGCAATTTATCCTGTATATCACTTTTTTTGTACATAACGGTTTGCATGTGGCCTCCCACCCTTAGACTGAAAGAAAGACTGTCTTTTGCCATTCTTTGTAACCCCAAGGTTTAGCAGAGTGCCTGGAACATGATAAGTGCTTAACAAGTATTTACTGAGTGACTGACCACCATGAGCCATAAAACTTGAACCATAGGGAGGGAATGCAGATAGTGAGTGATTGAGAGGTTTGGAGCTGACTGTCAGGGGCTTTAAGCCAATCAAGGACTGGGGAACTGGGGAGATGGGCAGGGAAAGGTGGTCCTCAGCCAATAACTTGGAAAGAGAAGACAAAAGGGTTTCCCCTCCTATACAACCCCAACTCCCACTACAATTTAGAGACCTGGACATGGCATCTGCCTCCTTCCTCGCTCAAGAACAAGAGAGGGAAACAAACTTGTGTACTGGAGTAGGTTGATTTACCTCAGTGAGTAGGCATCTGTTTGAGAAGAGGATGTTAGAGAAAAGGATAGAGGGATGAGGAAAGAGAAGAGAAAAGAGAGAAATGTATAGAGGGAAAATAGAAAAGAGGGATATTAGAAGTAAGTACAGAAGCAGAGAAGAGGGAGATAGCAGTGAGGAGAGGGAAAAAAGAGCCCACAGAAAATGGGAGGAAAGGAGAGTGGAAAGAAGAGATGTAGAGTGACTTCTCTTTGACCTCCCTCTACTGTCCTCTTCCCAGCCCAGTCTGAGGCAAATCCTAGTCTTACTCAGCCTACCCCATGCCACCAAGTCTCCCACTGACCTTCTTGTGGTGATTATTTTCTTCCTTTTCATCCTTTTTAGCTCCTACATGAACCTAGCCCCACCCCCAACTGAGCACGAGTCCCCTAGGATCAACTTGGTCCCTCATCAGCTCCCTGTGGGGGTATTCAGTTGTAATTAAATCAAATGCAGGCCCCACCTGAAATTACTTTATTGTCAGCTCTGGAAACTGGTGGGGTGTGGGACACCACTGGTGGGGACAAACCTTCTGAATAATTATACTGATACACTCTTTAATATTAGCAGCATAAAATCTGTCACAAAAGCTGTCCAGACATGCCTAAATGTCCAGTCAAAAAGATACCCTGTAAGCCGAGAGGGAACCATGAGCTGATGTTTAGAGGAAACGGGACTGGGACCATATGTTTCTGGCCCTCTTCCAGTCCTTGGACCCTCTGAACCCTCTCCAACCCCATCCCTGGCCTCCTGTTATGTCTTATGCACCACATTCTATTTGAATTAAACCTGACTTAGATGTGTCCCGGTCTTCCACACTCTAGGCAAGTACATAGAAGGGGGGGTATCAAGCACAGGGCTACATGGGGACTAGGTCACACTTAAGGGTCAAGACTATATGAAGACCAGGAGATTTGAATCAGTTTTGCAGAGAGTAGGGAAAAATTCAGGGTTGGGGAACACTTAGAAGGATTCCTACACATGGACTAGTGGACACAAGGGGGCCAGAACTATGCAGAGACTGGAACCCAGAGTTCAAGGCAGTACATGGGCTGAGCGTTATACAGGTCTGAAATGTTTAGAGTTGGGGGTGGAGGGGAAATTACAGACCAAGGCTACACTGAGCTAAAAGGGTTCAGGACTGCAGAAGGACTAGTGGACCCTCAGGATCTGGGCTACTTAGGGACTGCCCAGCTGGATCTTTATTAACATCCCATGATTCCATCACCTTGCTACCTTACTTACCTTCTTCTTACCTTGACATCTATGCTCTATCCATAGGTAATAAAGGGCCACCAACTTCAAATGTAAAAGTCACAATCAGCATCCCATTGATCTCACACAGCCCAGGAACTGACCTGAGAAGATATACTAAAAAAAAGCACCTAGATGAAGCATTCTGGGAAGATGGCAGAGTAGGTCAGAAATTTATAGGCTCTTTAAATTTTCTTCACAGACAGAACAACACCACGAAATGAACTTAGAGCAGCAAAAGTAAAGGGGTAATGCAACTCTCTTTCTAAGACAACTTAAGAGGACCTCAGGAAAGACAGGATCTTCAGAGGCCGAAGTCTGGCCTGAGTGAAGTGTAGGTACCTCAAGTCCAACTCTGCTGAATCAACAAACAGCAGGCCCTGGAGGCAACTCTTTTGGGTAGCTGACTAGGCCTCAAGAAATTTCACCTTACAAAATTTTCACCTCACCAACTTTCATCTAACAAAAAGCTTGGAGATCAGATGGCTGAGTGGGGGAAGACTGAAAGACACCTGCTGTTTCTGGACACCAGGCCTGGCAGTGCTGACCAGACATGATCCTAGGCTGTGGCTATGGGCAAGGAGGAGCAAGCACATGCCAGTGAGTGAGGTATCTCAGGAAGCAAGAACATTTTTAGGGTATGATTGGAAGCCCTAACTATGATTTAGGGGAGGAGAGGAGTGCCTGAGGTTGAACGCCTGGATAGAACTCAGAAAATAACCATAAGGAAGACCTCAGGCCTGGGTCACCATTACCCACAAGTCAGGATTAAAAACTGATTACAATAATAAGCTGCTAAAAATAGAATAAAACAAAATAATAAAGAGTAAGCAAAGGCAAAAGAGTCCCACCATAGACAGCTACTATGGTATAAAAGAAGATCTGGGTTCAGAGGAAGATTCTGAGGTTAAAAAAGCTATTCCTACCCCTAAGAATTACATCAAATGGTCACAATTCCAAAAAGAGCATTTGGAATATCTTTTAAAAGGACTTAAAAATCAAATCTGAGAGATTGAGGAAAATTAGGAAAAAAAAGTAAAACAATCCAAGAAAATTATGAAAATAAAAGTTAATCAATTGGAAAAAGAGGTCCAAAATCTTGAGGAAAATAACTCCTTGAAAACTAGAATTGGGCAAGGAGAATCAAAAGGCACTATAAGACACCAAGAAACAATAAAATTTAAAAAAAAAGAAGAAGAAAAATTTAAGAATCCCATTAGAAAAACAAATGATTTGGAGAATAGATTGAGGAGAGACAATAAGAGAATTGTAGGACTACCTAAAAGTTATGATCAAAATAAGCATCTTGGTACAATGTTACAAGAAATTATTTGCCCTGAAGTTCTAAAAGAAGAGGGTAAAGTAGAAAAAGAAAAAAAATCTACTGTTCACCACCTGAAAGAGATTCCAGGAGGAAAAATTACAGGAATGTCATAGCCAAGTTCCAAAATTCCCAGATTAAGGAGGTGACATTGAAAGCAACAAGAAAAAGCAATTTAAATACTGTGGAGATACCATCAGTATTTCACAAGACCTAGCAGTTTTTACACTAAAAGACCTTAGGTCTGTGAACATTGTACTTTGAACAGCAAAAGAGCTAAAGTTGCAACCATGAATAACTTACCCAGCAAAGTTGATTATAATCCCGAATGAAAAAAAAAATGACATTTAATGAACTGAAAGACTTTCAGGTATTTTGTTTTGTTTTATGTTTTTTGGATAGACAATGGGGTTAAGTGACTTGCCCAGGGCCACACAGCTAGTAAGTGTCATGTGTCTGAGGTTGGATTTGAACTCAGGTCCTCTTGAATCCAGGCATGATGTTCTATCCACCGCACCACCTAGCTGCCCCAACTTTCAGATATTTGTGACAAAAAGACCAGAACTAAATGGAAATTTTGATGTATAAGATTCAGAAGAAATAAAAGGAAAACATTAAAGACTAATTGTAATGGACTCATTAAGGTCAAACTGTTTGCTTCTCATATATGAAAATGTTAGTAATATTCTTAAGAGTGTCATCATTACTAGCATAGTTTGAAAGAAAGTTTGGGGCTGAGTTGTTAATGATGGAGTTATTCTGAAAAACAAAATTGGAAAGGAAAAGGTAAAAAAAGCAATTATCTCATGTAAATTGGGCATGAAAAGAAGAAATGATACAGAGGAACCAGGTAGGGGTGGAGGGCTGGTAGTGCTAGAATGTCACTCTCATTGGACCTGGGTTAAACAGGAAATAATATATACATCTAAAAGGGTATAAAAGTCTTCTAAACTTATAAAAAATAAGAGGGCTAAGGCACAGGGTAAGGGAAAGACTTTTAGAAGTCTGTGTAGATTAAGATTTAGGAATGTGGGGGGAGAGAATAAAAGAAGTACTCTCAGAGGGTTGGGTAGAATAAAAATAGGAGAGTAAAAGGAGAGGATAAGGTAACAGGGATAGAGTAAAAAGAGAGACTGAGGACAATAATGAGTAAAAACTGAATGGAGGGAAATTCACAAAGAGTAATTATAACTTTGAATATGAATGGGATGAACTTACGCATAAAATAAAAACAGCAGAATGGATTAAAAATCAGAATCCAACAATATGTTGTTAATAAGAAACACATTTAAGAATGACAGAGTTAAAATTGAGGGATTTAGTAGAATTTATTTTGCTTCAGCTGATGCTAAAAAGGCAGGGGTAGCAATTATGATCTCAAAGTAATGGCTAAAATACGTTTAATTAAAAGAGATAAACAGTCTAACTACATTTTGATAAAAGTTACCATAGACAATGAAGCAATATCAATACTGAACCTATATGCTCCAAATACTATAATATCTATATTTTGCAAAGAAATGTTAAATTGAATACAGGTGGAGATAGATAGCAGTAATACAATAGTGAGGGACAAAAAGCTTTCCCTTTAAGAACTAGATAAATCTAACCAAAAAAATAAATAAAAAACAAGTCAAGGAATTGAATAGAATTTTAGATAAGCTAGGTATCATAGACAATTGAATAAAAATAGAAAAAAAATACATCTTTTTTTCTCAATGGTTCATGGAACCACTTTGAAAGATTGACCGCATATTAGGACATAAAATTTTTATAGTTAAAAGGAGAAAAGCAGAAATATTTAAAGTATACTTTTCAGATCTCAATGGAGATTAAACAACCTAATCTTAAAGAATGAATGTGCTAAAGAATAAAGCATAAAAACAATCAATAATTTCATTAAAGAGAATACAATAATGACACATCATATCAAAACCCATAGGATATAGCAAAAAGCACTGATCAGAGGAAAATTTATGTCTATAAATGCTTACTTCAATAAAATAGAGAAAGAGCAGAATAGTGAATTAATTGGGCATGCAATTTAAAAAACTCGAAGAATGAACTAAAAATCCCCAATTAAACACTAAATTAGAAATCCTGAAAATTAAAGGTAATATTAATAAAACTGAGTGTAAAAACCATTGAATTAATAAATAAGACTAGGAGTTGGTTTTATGAAAAAAAGAACAATAAAATAGATAAACCATTTGTTAATTTGATAAAAAAGAGAAGAAAACTAAATCACTAGAATTAAAATTGAATAGGATGAGTATACCAACAGCAAAGATAAAATTAAGGCAATTACAAGGAGTTATCTTCCCAACTACATGTCAATAAATTTATCAATTTAAGTGAAATGGAAGAATATTTACAAAAAAAAAAGTTGCCTGATTAGCAGACATAAAATATCTTAAAATACCTATTTTAGGGGCAGTTAGGTGGTGTAGTAGATAGAACTCTGGCCTTGGAGTCAGGAGGACCTGAGTTCAAATTTGGCCTCAGACATTTGAAACTTACTAGCTGTGTGACCCAGGGTAAGTCATTTAATTCTAATTACCTCACACACAAAAAAGACCTACTTTAGAAAGAGAAATTGAGCAGGCCATAAATGAGCTTCCAAAGAAAAAAGCAACAAGGCCAGATGGATTTACAAGTGAATTCTATCAAAAATTTAAAGATCAATTAATTCCAATATCAAATAAATTATTTGATATAGTAGGCAAAGAAGAGATTCTACCAAACTCCTTTTATGAAACAAATATGATACTGATACCTAAACCAGGAAGAGTGAAAACAGAGAAAGAAATTATAGACCAATTTCATTAATGAATATGGATGCAAAAATCCTAAATAAAATACTAGGTAAAAGATTACAACAATATATTACAAAGATTATAAAATATGATCAAATGAGATTTATACCAGGAATGCAGGGGTGGTTTAACATAAGGAAAATTATTAACATAATTGATTATATAAATAATAAAAAATTCTAAAAATCATATGATTATACTAATAGATGCAGAAAAAGCTTTTAATAAAGTGTAACACTCATTTCTGTTTTAAAAACACTTGGAAGTATGGATTTTTCCTTGGAATGATAAAAAGTATTTATCTAAAACCATCAGAAAATGTTATTTGTAATGCAGATAAGCTAGAAACCTTCCCAGTAAGATCAGATGTGAAACAATGATCCCCATTGTCACCAACATAATTCAATATCATATTAGAAATCCTAGCAATAGCAATAAGAGAAGAAAAAGAAACAGAAGGAATCAGAATACGGAATGAGGTAATAAAACTCTCTTTTTCTAAATGATATGATGACATCCTTTGAAAATCCCAAAGACTATTAAAATTTTAGTTGAAGCAATGAATAATTTTACCAAAGTAGCAGGATATAAATCCACATAAAACATCAGCATTCCTATGTAGCACAAACAAAACTCTGCAAGAAGAGATAGTAATAAATACTCTAGATAGGATAAAATACCTCAGAATATACTTGTCAAGACAAACCTAGGAAATACGTAAACAAAATTATTTTTAAAAAAATTTTTATACAAATGAAACCAGTTTTAAATAATTAGAGAGATACTAATTATTCATGGATAGGCAAGGCCAATATAATAAAAATGACAATTTTACCTAAACTAATTTAGACATTCAATGCCAACCCAATTAAATTACCAAAAGATTATTTTATTGTATGAGAAAAAAATAACAAAATTAATTTGGAAGAGCAAAAAGTCAAGAATATCAAATGAACTAATAAAAAAGGTAAAGGAAGGTGATTTAGCTGTACCACATCTTAAACTATATTATAAGGCAGTAATTATAAAATTATTTATATAATCAAAACTCTCTGGTGCTGTCTAAGAAACACAAAGGTAGATCAATGGAACAGAGCAGACATTTAATTTACAGCAGGAAATAAATATAATAACTGTGTATTTGACAAGCATAAAGACTTGAGATTTTGAGATAAAAATTTATTATTTGGTAAAAATTGTTGGGAAAATGAAAGCAGTATGGCAGAAATTGGGCACAGACCAATATCTTACACCATTTACCAAGATAAGTTCAAAATGGTTACATGACCTTGGTATAAAGCGAGATATAACAAAAAATTTGAAGAACATGAAACATAGTGCCTATCAGACTTATGTATAAGTAAACAATTTATTAATAAACAAGAGATAGAGAGTAGAGTGAGGTATAAAATGAATAATTTCAATTACATCACATTAAAAAGATTTTGTAGTGAGCACAACCAGGAGAATGTTGTACACAATAACAGCTATGTTGTGCAATGACTAATATTGATAAACTTAACCCTTCTCACCAATACAAGGATATAAGACATCTCCTAAGGCCTTGTGATGGAAAATGCTGTCCACAAAAAAGAAAAAAACTATGGAATTTGAATGCAGATCAAAGTATTTGCTAATTTGTTTCTCCTGTTGTGTTTTGTTTCCTCTTTCTGGTGGTTCCTCCTATTGGCTCTAATTCTTACCTACAACATGACTAATGTGAAAATATGTTTAATAGGAATGTATATATATAGCCTATATCAGATTGCATGCTGTCTTTGGGGAGGGAGGTGGGGAAGGTCAGGGAGAAAAATTTAAAACTCAAAAGCTTGTGGAAGTGATTGTTGATAATTCAAAATAAATTAATTTTAAAAAATGAATAAAAAGGTTTTATAACAAAAGGTTCAGA